GCCTAACCGCAAGGCAGCGGTGTTTGGCGGGAAATGCAAATGCATTACCATTTCTACGGAACAAGTCGCCACATGTTCCAACCCCCAACCTGGAGGGCCAGGAGACTGTGTTCGTCAGACCTCTAACCATTGACCAACCTGGTATGAGAGACTGTGAGTGTCGCGGGACACTCTCCAGTATAGCTCAATGGATCGCTGAGGTGCGCAAATCGTCACACCACGGTAAGGTCCAGTCTCTTCGTGACGGATATATATATATTCAGCTAACTCCATTCCACCATCCAAAAGCAACCATGAGTACATAGTAGGCGAGTGATGGCTAGACTGACAACTTGAAACTACCTCCAGAAACACATGATGATGCGAGTGAAGTTGAAACAATCATGTTCCCATTTCCAGCTATTTTGGTCACCATAAGCGGTGTTGTGCTGCTGCCTTTTGACGCCACTTACGCAAAACAGCTTAACCAACGTTAATTTCGGCTTCAGGACATGATATAAGTGAGCGTTATGTGAGATATCGCCAGGTGACTGCGACCTTAGGCCTCATGTTGCATACCCCAATGTTCGGATTACAAATAAATGCAGCCACCGGATCAGTTTAAGCAATTCTGGTTTTAGTACCGTCGGCGGGGCAGGTGGACTAGTTCAGTGACTGGTTACCTTCAACCGTCGACGCCAACTCAGCATTCTATGCATGTTAAGCATCTGGTGCGCCCCGTAGCTTCTAACGATGATTCAGCTAGCGCACGAATACAGTTGGCTTGGGTATTCCGAAGGACGCTCATCAATTTGTACCTTTTCCACTTGTGCTCAGGATTAAAAATAACAAGGTGGGGCAGCCATGGTATTATGATACAGTATCAGTAACCTATCTAGATGTTATACAGGTATCCTCGCCGATCTGGCGATACCGCGGGATCCGTCGTGACTCAGTTACTCCTGCTTAACTTTACGTTTACTGTCTTATTTTGAAGTTCCAATATTACGCGATTCATTGGCGAAGTGACCCATCGCGGATACCTTGAATCAAATTACACTGAAGCCTTGTACTTGTTTAGGCAAGGAAACCCATAGAATCGGTTCAAAGTAGCTAGTCCAAATAAGCCCTAGGAGGCGTAGAGTTATGTGCCAAATATGTACCAATTATGCTCGGCGCTGTGCACCTAACACCATAGATAAGCAACTTAAATACGTTACCTCTATTCACCTCGTGCGAGACAACACGCATTCGATTTTACTTCCCCTGGTTAATCATTCTAACCACTTCGTAGTTTGCCATCTGTGTTAGTGACCTCATAACCGTCATCTATTTCTTGTTGCTTAATGTATAAATCACCTGGAGCAGTTCCTGCGGTCAGCTTCACATTGAACTTAAATTGTGACTGCATTTTTGGCCAATTCATCTTCTGAAACACGCTAACAACACAGAACACTACCATGAACTTCTTAGCTTGTGATTACTGTTGCTGCGTGGTTATGACTGTTGAGACACAGCAGTTCTCGACACATACCAACTCACCAGGCCCACGAGTCAACTGAAATGAATAACATTTTTCTGCGATACACAGCTGCAGCCCATACGG